CGAGTTATAGAGCGAAAGGGAAATATGATCAAGGTCAAGATAAAGGTCAAATAAAGGTCACAGTGACTTGGTTTTGGTACGCTGCTCACCTTCTCCCCAAGATGTGTAAGTATACCAAGTTTGGTAGCGCTAGGTCAATTAGGGGTCAAGTTATAGAGCGGAAGGGAAATTGTCTGCGGCGGCGGCTGGGGAGACATGAAACCATAGTATCCCCGCCGACTTCGTCGCGGGGGATACAAATATAGTCACCCACAAGTTGCACATTCATGCATTTGCACACACATTTGCACACACATGTGCAAGTTGCAAGTTAGGAATTTCCTTCAGAGGCAGCAATTATTTGCTGCTGACAAAGGGCAGGCAGCAAACTGACCCTTGTAGGCAGCAAAACTGCTACTTGTTGCCAATACTTTCGAACTCTGCTACCAATGATTAATTAGAGAATTAGTCTAAACATATGAATCTCTTGCTAGTTACTCACTAGTAAAGCAAGGCAGGCAAGAGCACAGAAGGAGAATCGGGTGTCCACTTCACCCCACTTATCGCCTACAAAACTACCATCAGGCTGCTGAAGTCCTTTCACATAATCCACTACTAGGTCTGCATCAATTGTATCAAGGGCATCATAAGTACACAATATCTGAAGAAGGAAAAAAAACGAATTAGGAATTGCTATCAACAGAAATACCATCTAGATAATGGCTCTTGGTTATAAAATCTTCAAGTGACTTTGGATATATGCATTGGCATATTGGATATATGCATTGCCATATATGAGAGATGGACTTCTAAGCATATCAACATTATTACTATGATCATGGTATAGCTTTACAGATTTAGTGCTTTAACTTACCTGCACAGCACTGAGTGTATACAAGAGATGTGGGTCATGATTTTCACTAGAGCTAATACCTCCACATTTATGCTGACACTGCTTCACAAATGCAATGATTTGAACCTGTAATAACAAACGCTTATAGTTTTTTCTCTGCCAGGATTTGAAAATGCATTTCACTGGTACTATTATATGTGCTAACTACATTACTTTACATACACGTTCGATTTAATTGAACTTCAAAACATTTCTGGTTGATTTCTACCATTTATACATAAATGTCACTAAAAAATAACTAATAATTTAAGTATTACTAATAGAGAAGACCATATTTAGTTCTCACTTTGTCCATCATATCAAGTTGATGCATCAAATCCATGGCAGTTATTCCCCAGTAGATACCACTCATTCTCAGATACTCTGTCATCACGTACTCCTACAAACAAACAATTTCCTATCATTTTACAACAAACACTATTATATACAGGGGCTGTACCAAGTACAGCAGCTGGAAAAAGGATACGTACGGTACAGCACCACAAATATGACCTGCCAAATATGAATGTAAATCAAGGTACATCACTGAGAAAAAATTCACATGTATAGCATTGTGTGCTCTTGCCACTGAACACTAAACTTATGAACAAGCCATTTTCTGCTGATCACCCCCCCCCCCCCAACACACACACACACACACACACCGAAGACCGAGATGTATTATGTTACCATGAAGTGTTACGTACACGCGGTCGTCGTAAATCGCGCGGAAATAAAAGATTGCAGTCAGTAAAACATAATGCATTAACTACGCTACAACATGTATTCATTTTTAAAGAGAAAAATATTTCAAATATATTGTACTTGGTTCAGTTTCAACAGTTTAGCAAAATGGCCTTAGTTGATACTACTTATTTTACTCATCACAGTAATAGAAAATCCATCCTATCAAGACCAATAGAGCTGTGATAAGCACGTTTACATTATACATATATGAAACTCGGGTGTAGCTATTTTAAAGTGCAGTACACTGTGGTACTATATTACCATCCTATCTATACACATACATAATCATCTTTTTTGTTCTCATATGCAGCAATGTAGTTGATATGCTTTTCAAGAAATAGTACACTTGGCAGATTGGCCATGATCGTAGCATCCTTTGCATGTGTACCCTGCAAAAAAAAAAACATACAAAAAGTTTATATTAAATATAATTAATATAATAAATTAATTAATCAAATTTTGATTAATGGGTAATGGCAATACTATAGAGTATGTAATAATGAAAGCATCAATGGCACTATAGCTCACCTTGGGTGCGATAGAAGAGGGAAGTAATATTTAAAATTTGGTAAGTGTTTCATTTATGACGGACCGAAATGTGATCAAATGTCCTTATTCCCTGTTTTATACTAATAGAAATGTTACTGTTTTGTTTCAGGGTTAGTTTTGATGCGAAAATAAATGTTTCAGATCTGAAAGTCTGAAATCTGGGCGAGAGATGGCACTACACCTAAATGATCGCCATTTTGGTTTTCGATTATCGCGCAAATAAAAGTAAAATATTCCAGTCAATTTACTGTAATGAAGAATCTAAAACACAATATTCCATGTAGGTATGAATAGGTAGGTAGGTAGGTAGGTAAATTTAATGAAAGTGTCAATGACACTGTACCTCACCACAAAAAAGAACACAAATGAGTGAGTGAGAAGAAGTCAGTTTTAATTGAGCAACCATCGACGTACATTATAGAAACGTCTCTCCCATAGGAGTAACAACTGTATGCAATTTGAAACATGCGGGTCAAACGGTTCTCATGATATGGTTGACCGTATCCCAATGTTGACGGACGGACGGACGTACGACGGACAACGCCCCATGGCAATAGCCCATCTTGACGATGTCAAGGTGAGCTAAAAATGTGAGATTTCACATCAAGGCAGGCACACATGGCAATCGAGCTACAAAATCGCTTTTAAGATCAGATATCTGAAGAGGGCATGTGTTGCTGACATATAAACTTTGCACTGCAGGAATGGAATGATTTTTGTTTTTTTATTGAACATGTTGAAGTCCGTTTTGCTCGCAATTTCGCAACAATGCTTCAATGAAAATACAACACACCATGTCTCCTGGGCGATCGGCAAAGCCACCAGTTTCCTCATCTTGAGATGCTAGGATAAAATCCACAAGCTTATTCTAAAAATCAAAATAATGAATGCCTATAAGTATAACTGTAAATGCAATATTTAATCAAATTTTTAAAAAATGATAAAATTTCGAATCACAAAACATGTACGTGGTTACAAGCATCTAATCTGTCACTCATAATGATTCATCTGCATTCCTTGGCTCCTTGATGAAAGCAAAACTAACTTGTAGGTACACATCATTCCTTTACTCCAATGGGACGTTTGTAGAAAGGTTGACAAAACTTGTACCTTGTCTATCCAGTGCAGTCTGCCTATGATAGTGAGAGAGGATAGCACCCACCAGGAATAACATACATCAGGAAGTTTCTCTGGCCGTCCTTAACACAGAAAATAGAACGTAGTTGTACAAAGTTTTGAGTATCTTTCAAAATTGTACTAGTTTGAGTGGAAATGGTCATATCATCAATAGAGCATAATAACAAATTTGGTATTATTAGTATCCATAATTAATAATTTTTTTGAGACAAGGTATTGGATATTTACTGCATAACAATTGATCTGTTACTCAATTATTATATTCAACTTAAACAGGGTGATACTCCATTAGGAGTGTTCCCAATTTTAATGTCATTAATGGTCATAATAACACACATATATATATATATATATATACATATATACAAGAGCTAATAATACCTAGAGTGTACAACGGGAAAACGGAAAAATTTTATGGTATTGCATTAAGCAGAATTCTTTGCTCTCTAAAACAAGACCAACCGCTTGTCAATACGATACTCCTAGGCTGAGATATTGGCTCCTAAACCTCCCCTCCCACATGCCTCACACGGCCTGGCATCCAGCTTATTCAGCAACCTAAACGCCGTATTATTAGCTCTTGACGAAATATATATTATGGAAAGAGAGGTGGAACAGTGAAATAGAAACAGTGAACTAGAAACTGAAGCAACCAGAACTA